GACGTCAGTCCAATTTTTTTAGGAACCCAATGCAACAGTGGGAAACTCCTGTCCTAAGGGAATGTGATCCCAAATATCTGGGAGGCAGCTCCATGACCAGTGGCAGTGTATAAACAATGATCCAGCCCTGGCCAGCAGCACTTTTATCCCAAAAAAAGCAGGGTGCCAACATTGCATTGGCACCAGCACCCCGAGTTTTGGTGGGAAAAGGAGAGCGCTTCCAGGATCCGGGCTGTGCCGCTCCCTGCGCCTCCCAAAATTTGGGGACAAGCTGCTCCAGGCAGGTAAACAGAGCCCAAGGTAATAAATGCAGCAGCACAGAGTCCAAGGTCACTCCCTGCTCCCCCAGCTCTTGGAAGAGATGTCCAAATATAGCCTTGTCCCTGTGGCCTCCTCTGAAAATAGGGGATGGAAGTGGGAGCCAGGGATGCTTCCAGCATGAACTGTCTCTGGGAGGGAAGGATTTGGGAAAAACACACACGGAATGGGACTTGGGGGCCACTTAACCAGGGCTTACAGGAGAAATCCAGGTTTGGGGGAGCATGAAAAGATCCAGGATAACCCCCAAATTCCATGAGAGATGTGAAGGAGGTGGGAGACCACGACAACTATTAATGAGTAGCCAGAGGCTGGAAAATCCAGCTTTCCCAAAAAATTCCATCACAATCTGCCTCTCCAGGCACTCACAGTGCCACTGGCAAACAGGCAAGGAACTAAAATTTCCTACGCATCCAAGAAAAGCCAGAAAAATGCACCTGGAAAACAGGTGTCCCCAAGATCCCAGAGCTGAAGATTTGGATATCATCATTCCTCAGGACACACATCTTTCCTCTTGGACTACTTTATTTGGTAAAACTCCAAAATCAGCAACAGCTTGAACTTCCCAGAACTTCCCGCCCTGAGCAAGGCATGGATCCTATGGAGACAGAGTTATCTCGCTCAGCTCCAGCCTCAGCTGCTCCTCCAGCTTTGATTCCCCTTCCAAAAAAAAAAAAAAACAAACCAGGATCAAAAGCGAAACCAAAAGCCAAAAAACGTAATAAAATATCTAAGGACACCAGGGAAAAGGGAATCGAGGTGAGGGCATCAGATCCCAGTGGATCACCCAAGGAAAGAGACAGTTCTGGGTACAGCCAAATCTGCAGAATCCACGAATCCCAGCAGATGACTGACACCCCTCCAAATTCCTAACAAGCTGCTCCCCCTGTGAGATTCCGTCCCCCTCCGACCGCTGCTGCCGGTGTTGGGCACGGCCGGGGAAGGATTTCCCTTTGCTCCATGTGGAGAGGAGGAGTAGGGAACGATCCTGAATCCTGCTAATGGATCCGGGTCAGCTCCTCTACGATCTTTATGAGGTCGTCCACGGTGGCTTCCCTCTTCATCCCGCTTCCATCGTCAATCTGCACAGGGAGGAAAAGGCATTGGAGACATTGGCAGGTGCTAAAAAACATTCCCAGTAAATTCAGGAGGGTGTGGATTTAGGATTTTCCGGAGAGGCTATGGCTTCCCCATCTCTAGAAGTGGTCCAGGCCAGATTGGACAAGGCTTGGAGCAACCTGGAGGTGTCTTGAAGTCCCTTCCAACCCGAACCATTCCATAACTCTACAATTCCATGATTTACTGAGCCTGGATTTCTGAGCAAGGTCCTTGAAGGATCCAAGGCCACATTCCCAAGCTCACCTGCAGGTTTGCCACCACTTCCTGCATCTTGGGCCTGCTGATGTCCAGGAAACTCTCGATCAGGTCTCCATCAATGAATCCTGTGGCCGGTTCTGTCTTCCGTTCGGTGTGGAATGATCTCCAGGTGCCGCTGTCAAGGAGCCAAATCCACAGGAAATAACACCAGCCCTGACGTGATTAATGGTGGGATGGCAGTGCTGGGTTAATGCCTGGACTCTGTGGTCTCAGAGGGCGTTCCCAACTTTAATTCCATGATTTCCGAGGGCACCAGCAAACCCGCTCCTACCCACTCCAGCTGGTAAACCCCACCCAGCAGAGGCTCCTGGCTGGAATGTCAAAGGATATAAGGAATGCTCAATCTTCCCCACACTCTTGATGACTTTGTTGAGCCTGTTCTGCATGTCCAGGAGCAGGTTGTACCAGCTTTCCGACAGGGATGTCACCAGGCCTGCATGGGAATAACGGACATGGGAATATGGCAGGGGGTGGAGCTGGATGAGCTTTCCAACCCAAACCATTCCAGAATTCTGCAGGGAATCCTCAGCCCCTGCTCCTTACCGATCATGCCATTGACAGTGCCGAAGAGCACGGATCCCTGGGTGGGTGTGGAAGTCTCTCCCAAGTTCTGCATGACCAGGGATCCGTGGCAGAAGACATTGACGAACTCTCCGAGGTGGGATAATCCCACTTCCTGCAGGTGTTGCCTCTCCTCATCTGTCGTGGCCGCACTGGAATCCCAAACACTGCTCAGTCCCCGATGGGGGCACTCCAAAACTTTCCCTTGCTCACAAAAACTGGGAACACTCCTCCAGTTTTGCAGAAGATCCCATCACCCCATCCCATCCCATCCCCGTTCCCACTCCATCTGGCTCACCTGTCCTTCTGGCACACAAACAGATTGAAAGCGTTCTCCGCTCCCAAGAAATTATCATCATCCAGGATTTCCACGGCACTCATCCAGTTTGGATTGAAATCCCGGGCAATCTGGAAGGAGCCAAGAAGGGACACGCTGTGTCCAGGTGGCCTGGCCTGGGTTCCTGCATCCTCATCCCACCCAACACCAATATTCAGGAGCGAGGCAGGATCCAGCACGTCCCTCTCTGCTCCAGGACGCAGCTGAGTAGGAAAGGCACTCCTGGAGATGGTCCTAGTCCAAGTAGCACTTGGATAACATCCTGGGAAAGCGTGGAGCAGCCTATGCCAAAGCCACTCCAGCAATTTAAACCCCCATTCCAAGTGGACACCAGGCATCCCAGATGGCACCTCCCACCCACCAGGCACCAGCTGCTCTTCCCACAGCCAGTTCCCTGGAAACTGAGGGACTCCATCCCCACAGAAACCACAGGGATCCGTGTGAAACCTTATCCAGTCAAGCCAAACTCCTCCTTTTATCCCCTCCGACGCCATTCCCTGTGCCCAGAGCTGTTGGAACAGATTCCCGGCACCACTTCCATACCTCCTCGAAATTCCCTTCCATGGGTTTGTAGGCCAGGAGCAGCACAGAGCGCATGAGGTCTCCCACCAGGATGAAATCCCCCTTGGTTTTCAGGTACAGGGCCATGATGTTGTTGTAGTGGTTGCATTCCGTGCGCAATTCCTTCTCCGCTGTCCACTCGTACAGGCGGACCTGTGGGATGGGACACGGATTGGGATATTCCTCATGGGAGCTGGGATATGTTCCTCAACAGACACCTGACTGACATCCAGATCCACAAACACACTCCCAAAGAAAGTCAGAGCCTTGCCTACCGTGCTGTTGATGCTGGCTAACAGCTTCCCGTTGAATTCCACCATGGAATACACGGCTCCCTTGACCTCCTTCTCAGCCAGGCTCTGCAGCTTCCCTGGAATAAAGCCAGGCATTACTTGGTTTATTTATCCAAAGGGTGGGAAGTCAAGGGGGTTCAGCTGAGCTGGCCTGAATTTTGCTTCCTAAAAAATTGTTTCTGAGGGGGACAAGTGACATGGAAAGCAAATCCCAGAATCCTGGCTGGTGAGGGATTCTTGGGTTTCTCTAGGAGACAGGGGGAAAGGGAACACAGCACATACAGATGCCAACAACAGACTCCTTGGGAAAAACTGCCTGCTCCTGGGATACAAGCCCTCTGGGGTCTGAGGAGCTCATCCCTGATCTCCCACCAAAAAACCCTGGATTTTTCCAGATAAGGACACCTTGTTCTTACCATCGGAGTAGTGGAAGACGACGATCCGGCCTTGCTTGGGTTCCGCTTCCTCGGGATACACCATGGCAGTGCCCACAATGAAGTAGGTGTTGGGATCCTTTCCCAGCTTGCAGGAGACCAGGCTGAGGGCATACTCATTTTGCAGGAACTGGTGAGCATGGAGCACTGGGAGGAAAAAAAAAAGCGGGAAAGGGAGAACAACTGGGATCCCAAAGTCCTTAAACTGAAAGCCTAAGACACATGCTAGAGATTCCCTGTCCTATTCCCCACCAACTTGTGCCATCAAAAATTGGTATTCCCTAAACCTTATGGCTGATGTTCCTCCAGGAAAATGCTTTGCTGAAGCTCCCATGGGCTTCTCCAGGATGGGAAAAGCTGGATTTTGGGATGAGACAGTTACCTTCAAAGGTGTG